AAGCAGCTGCACCTCAGTTCTTCCACTCCACGGACATCCTGAGCCATCTCGGAGAAGCCGTACCAACCCCCTGAATTACAAATTGAGGCACAAAACCCCCACTTTGGTGCCCTTTTTTCCCCGGCCAAGCCTGTTCCACTGCAGGGCCAACAGTCACCCTGACACGCTTCAGGTTCCCCGGTCGAGGCCTCATTTATTCAAACCAACCTGCAAACGGCATGGAGTTGCCTGGTGCAAAAACAGTTAAAAGCTCCTTCCCAGAATTGCTATCTGCAAGCCACGCTCCTTGTTACCAAATGGATTAATTACTGGTCCTAGGGAGTTCGGCAGCTCAAGCTACTCAAGGCACTTGTTAAGGAGGGTTTGCCTTTAATCCGCCAGAGAGACAATCAGCAACAGCCTTACAACCTGCTCCAGCACCAGGACTTCTCTAATTAGTGCCATAACGAGACCTCACCCAGGCAGCTCGCAGGGCTCCGACACAGGCTACGGCACCGAGACAAAGACCCCACATCTCTCGGGGCGCAGCTGGGAGGAACCGGTGTGACCACTTCCTCTGCTGGAGCCACGCGTTCTGCCGAGCCCATCCACCGGCCACCCGAAAATCAAACTGAAATCTGCTAAAAAAAACCCCAAACGAGCAGCTTACTCTGATTTGCATGGTCACCAGCTCTGGAAAGGGGCTCATATCATCTCTAGCATGGAGGGTTTGAGAGAAACTGTAAGAAATGTTTCTTTGACACCCTTTGGTAGACAGACAGAGAGTTTTAACCTAAGTTTAAACGTTAAACTCCAGTGGGAGTGGGCTAACCCTGATCCTACCATGTGCCACGGCCCAAAGCACAGGCACCTGCACTCCAGTGCTGGGAACAACATGTTGTCCTGCCTGCAGAGCACCCAGCAATGCCCTGGTGTCAAGGTTTACACCCTGCTAAAGAAAGGGGTTTCTAGAAAGGAACAAAACCCCTGCTGGGAATTTTCTATCTGTCCAGCACAGCTCAGCCTCTGGATCCTCAAAAAGCAACACCTGGGAAAAGCAAAGTCAAGTCCACGCAGGACCTCAGCTGCACCTCAGAGTGGAAGAGGGCCAAGCAGCGATGGCAGCAAAGCACCCAGGTGTTTTGTACAGTGGACAAAACAACCGGTTTCTGCAATAACCAATTTTAGACTACATGTTCTTTAAGTTTAAAAGTTCCAATTAATGTTTAAACACGGAGATTAAAAAGCCAGGCATCTGTCAAGGCAGCGACCAAGCTGTCACCATGAATTTCCTGCCACGAAAACCCGCATGGCCCTGACCAAAGTCTGCAAGGTCTCACTGCCGGGTGTTTTCCGACAGGCAGGATGAGAGCGGGCTTGCTGCTGTTGTAGCTTCATCATGGCAAAGACGAGGTGCAGTGTCAGCCTGGGTGTCCTCAGCAGGATGCGACAGCACTCAGCGGGAACAGGAATTTATGCCTGGTCACGGGAATCCAACCCATCGGTGCAAAAAGCAGGAGGTGCTCTGGGTCTCCCCACGGAAATGTCTGCTCATGGATTCACTCTTTATGCAAATCTTTCTTCTCTTCCACCCCGAAACCGTGGTCAAGTTGTAAGTAACACTGAGAGAGGCCCACTCAGTGGGGTGGACACTGGGGTCCAGGCTGTCCCTCTCAGGATCACCGGCTCCTAGAAGAGTTTGGAGATCCAAGTGCTGGCCATGGCTGCTCGTTCTTGCTGGAAACGAGGCATGATGCAGGCTCTGAGACTAAACACTGTAAAAGAAGGCAGCTGCCTGCATGGCAGAGGTACACACTCATCCTTGTACCCACAACCCTGCAGGACTCACCACCCTTTCCACCGCTGGAACAACCATCCAGTGCTAGAGCTGCACCGGGGACCAGATTCCTAACTCCGGGGTGCCACAACTGCAAAACAAGGATTTTCCCTCCCTCTGTCACATGCTGACAACCTGCTGGGAGAGCAGAAACACAGGTTGTGCCCATACAACACCTCTGACATGGACCAGAAAGGAGCACCAGCAAGTCTCACACCTGGGTGATGGGGTCCAGCACGGCGGAATCAGAGGATCACAGAATGGTTTGGGTTGGAAGGGAACTTAAAGCTCACCCAGGCCCAGCCCTCTGCCTGGTCTAGTGGAAGGGACACCTTCCACAGCCCAGGGTGCTCCAAGCCTCATCCAGCCTGGCCTTGGACCCTCCCAGGGATGGGGCATCCACAGCTTCTCTGGGCAACCTGTCCCAGTGCTCCCACCCTCTCCAGGAAGAATTCCTTCCTGATGACCCATCTCCATCTCCCTCTTTCAGTTTAAACCCGTCACCCCTTGTCCTGTCACTCCCTGCCCTTGGGAAAAGCCCCCCCAGCTTTCTTGTAGCCCCCCAGGCACTGGAAGGGGCTCTGAGGTCTCCCCGGAGCTTCCCTTCTCCAGGCTGAACCCCCAACTCCCCCAGCCTGTCCCCAGGGCAGAGAGGCTCCAGGGATCATCCCTGCCCCTCCATGGAGAGGATTTGGGAACCACAAACTGAGTTAAGTTACCGTCTTTCAGTGCTTGGCTTCTCCTACACCCAAACTGTCACGCACATATAGGTACCTGCTGTTTGTGCTAAAGCTTTTTGCGGGGCAGTATCAAACAGACATCAATATCGTTTTTGAGAGGCCCAGATAAACTTTCTCGGCTTGTATAATCAGGCTGCAAATCACAGGGACGTACTAAGTTTTAAAAAGTCAGATTAAACAAGAAATCACCTGCTCAGAAAAGCATAAACAGATTCTAGTGACCTCGGTGAGAGCTGACCGAAGCATCGATGGCAGCATTAACCAACCTCCCTCCTCAATCCTATCAGCGAGCAACTGAGAACAAGTTTAGGGGCCAAGTCAGCTCTGACGTGTGGTGTCAACACAGCCAAAGTCCATGACTCAACGAGACGTCTCCGTGTCACGGCTGCAGGGTAAAAGCCCCGCTGCAATATGTATTTTCTCTGCCCAGCCGAGGTGGGTAATGCTCTCCATTCCCAAGTTGGTAGAAGCATTTTTGCTCAGGCTAGCAAAGGCTTTATTTCCCTCAAGACCATCAGGGAAACAAAGCAATTAAAAGGAGAGTTATTTTCATCTCCTTGTTGAGGAACCAACACCTCTACCACCTGCCTGCTGACACCTGCAACTGCTGAAAGCAGAGGCCACGTTTTTCCACTCCCTGTGACACACCTCTTAATTGTGCTGCCCAATTTATATTCATAAATATTGTGGTTTTCCATAGGGCTTTGCGCAACTTAGTTGAAAATGCTCATTTCTTGTCAGCAAATATAAAGAACTATATTGGCAGCTCTGGGAATCAAGGTTCCTCCAAAAAAAAGTGATGGCACCTCTAGCAGTGCAACAGGTTGCAGCGATGGAGGAGACGGAGTTGTTATCTGCTCTCCCAAAGGAATGTACTGTAGACTGCAATTGTGGCCAAAAAAAAAAGAAAAAAAGAG